AGCAGGTGCCAAGCTGCCAAGACCCACCAGGGCACTCTCCTGCAAGTGCAAATTGTCATGAACATCTACTCACACCAACAGGTTCGTAGCTGGGCCTTCTGCAGTGTGAGTGGTACCAGTACCACCAGTGACCCACAGCAGCTCTGGCAGGAAACACACTGTGTATGCTGCTTGCTGTGGAAAAACTGTGAATTAGCAAGGTCTCTGGAGGAGACAGGGAGCAAGAGAAGCAGTTACTCTGCAGCCAAGATGTCAGCAGAGCCGTAGGGCAGGGGTAGGGGAACAGAGCTGCCCCATCTAACAGCAGTGCATATGGCAACTCGTGGTACACAGCTGCACCCGTAGGTTTGCGAAGGCAAAAAAAAAAAAAAAAGAAAAAAGAAGAAAAAAAACCCAGCTGTATCTGTTTAACTCGAATACATCTCAATTGAAGACAGACGTATGTGAACATATGTCTGTTCCTTGCAAAAGAAAGCAAGTTCAAATTTGACTATAGGTTAGGCCTAGAGAAGCAGAAGGTGCACTACAAAGGGAAAGCAAATGTGGCTTTACTAAGCATGGTTGCTGCTTTCTAATGCATGACAGAGAAAGCAGCCGCGTTTCTGCTTTGGCTCTTTATACCCAGAAGACAGATGATCTGTGCAATATTTTTAATATATCATGCTCATATATTGCTTCTCTTACCAGGCTCCACGCTATAAACTCTTCAGAGCAGGGACTGTCCATTCACATGCTACAGTGGCTGCTTAGGGCTGGAAGTTGACCCTGTAACAGGTAGCAAAGGTTCTTGCCTATCAGAGATCACCCTGCAACAGAAGAGATGGAAATAGCTCAGCTCTCAACTTAGTTTTCACCTGCTGTGTGTCAGCAATATTTTTCATCTGCTTTCCTAGGCAGTACCTTTTTCCTCTCTGTCTCTCTAGGAGGCCCCAATGTGGAGGGAAGTTACACCTCCCTGTGAGGAAGAAATTCTTGACTGTGAGGCTGACAGAGCCCTGGCACAGGCTGCCCAGAGAGGTTGTGGAATCTCCTTCCCTGGATATTTTCCAAACCCACCTGGATGCCACCCTGTGCCACGTGCTCTAGGTGTCCCTGCTGGAGCAGGGGGGTTGGACTAGATGATCTCTAGAGATCCCTTCTAACCTCAACCAGCCTGTGATTCTGTGCGATTCTGTGAAGACTGCCTGCAGGCACTGGGGACACCAAGGCTCCCCATCACATCTGGGCTGCTACTCCTGTGCAGCTGGATACAAGGAACAGTCAGAAGATGCTAAAAGAGGGCTAGGGACAAAGCTCTGTGGTAAACACATATCTTTCACTTGTAATTTTAGTGCTTGTTTTGCATCTTTACTAACCTTCCTTGGAGGGATAACTGCTACTCTGTTTTGCTTTGCTTTCTTCAAGCAGAACATGCAACTTAAAAGAGAGGCTAGCCTGATTCTGTTTAGTTAGCCAGATGCTCTTTTTATATTATCAGCTGAATCAATATAGGAAAAAGATATATTTGCCTACTTTTCAAATAAAACAAATTAGTAATGATTTATGATTTCTCTTTTTAAATTAAAAAAAAAAAAAAAAAGAGGAAGAAAAACTTGGATCCCTTTATCTTCTTGCCTAATTTTGAGTCTTGAAATGATTGATGTGGGCAAAGCAGAAATAAGCCAGGGAGAGGAAACGTGTGCAAGCTCCCTGGATCAAGGAGGTGGCCTAGCCTATGTGAAACGCAGCAAACCACAACTGCAGATAACTACCCAAACAGTGAAAGAAATGCCTTTTTTCAGCTTAGTAAGTAAACCAAACACTGGAGATGGGAGAAAAGTCAGTATCAAAACAGGCCAGAAAGTCTTACGGGTTTTTCCAGTTTAATCAAAGTATAAAAGATCTAATCTGGGGACAAACCAAAACACTTCATGCAACCTAATGTACTGATTTCATTGCAGACCAGACTTGACATTTTGTTCAAGTCATTATATAGTACACATTTTCTTTTGGTATTTAAACAAACAAACAAACAAAACAAAACAAAACAAAACAAAACAAAACAAAACAAAA